AAGCAGTAAGTAAAATATGACATACATTTCTATTCCTCTTACATTAAACGGACACTATAGGCACTCAGACTACTTCATCTCATTGAAGTGGTCTGGAGGCATTGCCCCCGCAATGTAAAACACTACAGAGTTCTTCTAGACAGTCAGTAGAGCTGCTTCTTGATCCCTAACATAGTTTTACTCTGTGAAAGGACATTGGACGTCATCCCGCTTTGATTCAATGCTCTCTTTGAGATATTTAATGTGTGAAAGGTGCTCGCTGTGCATTAGGTTCCACCAATGCCGTGATGTAGCTGGTGGAGACCATGGCGCTGGAAAGAGGTAAGTGGGCAATAATTGTGTTTTAACCCTTTATTCACTGGACCATAAGGGGTGGAGGAACGATTAAGTTTGAGACAGGGACAACACAGCATTAGGAATACAGTGTTCCTAATGCTATAGTCAGCATTTAAGGATGTGATTTTCAACATTGAACGCTTTTGATTATATAACATACATTCTGATTTTGCTGGACGTTAGCTCTTGGGAGACAGAGAGCAAGAAAAATAAGTAACATTAAAGGAATGAACATATTTCACTTAAAGGAACACTATAGTAATCTGGCTGCAATGGCCCTGTTCTTTTAACCATTTTTTTATTTTTTATTTATTGCACGGTTTACATTACTGTCTGAATAAAACTCGGTCACATGACGTGGAAGCCCATAAGAAAAGCATAAATACAATGCTTTTCTATGGGGAAGCTTTGATGAACGCGAAGCACCAACAGCGTATGAGATCTATACAGAGGAGGCCATGTTTCATCATAGACAATGAGGGATTAAAAGAGGTGAACAGCACAAGGGAGATTGGACACTGGAAAAAGATAAATAAAACCTTTATATATTTTCATTGCAACTGAGAGGAAATCTATATGTAACTAGAGACTAAGCCACTAACAGTCTTTCCCAACAATATAGTGTTTCTTTAAGGCCTGTCATATCCCACCACACCATATTAATTATATCACTCCTCAGTGCTTCCCTGTAGAAAAATAGTCTTTGCTAAAATCCCATATTTGCATAGAGTACATATGCATACAGTAGGCGTAGCTGCACTGACACAATGGATTTTTTTAGAGTGGTTTTGTGGTTTTAAGCAATAAAAGACACACCTTATGGACCGTCTGGTTTTCTCCCACAACAGGTCTTCACCAGCTTCCAAACGAAGGACAAAAGATGCTGACATTGTCCCAGGACAGGAAGACGACCGGCACCTGGACATCAAAGGAAAAGAGCAAAGGGAAGCTTTCTACCAACTTCTAGGTAAGAAATTCTGCTCCATAGTGTAAATCTGGAGTTTATATGGTTCTAATAATATTTATTCAGCAGAATAGGCAGTTATTCAAAGAACGCATAGTGGCTAAATAGCTGTTTGATGCCCCGGCCTCAACGCATCTCTATGGGGAGCGGTCAGTGTCTCCATGCAGAGCGTCGAGATACTGAACGCCAGTGCTGCACACTGTGCAGCACTGACCCAGGAAGCACCTGTAGTGGCCATCTGACTGCCACTGGAGGTGTCCCTAGGCAGTAAACACTGACTTTTCTCTGAGAAGGTGGTGTTTACATAAAAAAAACTTGCAGGGAGAAGCAGTAGACACCAGAAGAATGACATTAAGCTGTAGTTGTTTTGGTGTTTATAGTGTCCCTTTACCTATTCTCCCACCATAAGCACTAAATAGAGAAATTAACAGTGAATAATTCAATCTTGGACAAATTACTCTCTGGTATTCATAAAAGGCAATTATAAGAGGGTATTCTATTTGGGTTTCTTGTATCATAGCGACTACCTAATCTTTACACTAACGGCTGAAAGTACTGTTTAGTGGCATGGTCCCTAATGATACTCTTTGTTTTTACTTAACTATGTCATTCTTTATGTGAAACAACACATACATATCTGTACTTTAACATTAGAGTTAACTATTGGTCCCCTCCTTGAAGGGAATTACTAGTTCTCCATACACTATAGAGGAGATTGTGGTGTTTTCTACTCAGTTCACGTAGGACACCTATACCCTTTCCATTGAGTGTTCCTCATTTACAGGTAATAGGAATAGCATCTAAATTTTAGGCGGTGGCACAACTTATTTATACTTTTTATTTTTCATTTCATTAAAATTTACGTTTTAACACACTTGAATTGTATTCAGTTCCACTCACTAGGGTTATACCGTACACGAACCATAATCAGTCCTGGTTTTGTTGGCTCGTCTATTGTATTAAATAGCGCAGTAAGATAGACTATTTTTCACATGTTGGTTAAGCAGTGGGGAGAGCACTAAATTACCACCGCGGCCGGCCAGCACTATACTATTTCAGTAATATGAAGGAACAGGGGGAGGAGTGCTGAGGCGTGCGGAGACACACAACATGACGCAGACGTGACGTCAACGTGCGCGTCCTGTCCACCTTCACAGGTCTCCAGTAGCTAAAAGATCCACTCAGATGTGAGGGCAGCTACGCGGCAGCAGTAGTGCTGTGAGGCCCAAGCAAGCAGATCAGCATTTTGTTTGATTGATCATCAATGGGGGTGCAGGGTATTTATGTGAAGAGAGGGGTGCATTGCATTTATGTGAAGGGAAGGGTACAGGGTTTTTTGTGAAGGGGGTGCATGGATTTTATAGCAGGGTGTGTAGGATTTTTGTGAAGGGGGAAGGGCAGAGGTTTTGTATAAGGTGGGCAGGATAGGGTTTTTGTAGAATAGGGTAAGGGCAGGGGATTGTATGAGGGTGGCAGTTTTTTTTGTGAAGGGTGTGCAGGAGTTTTATGAAGCTGGCAGTGGATTTGTGGAATGGAGTGCAGGGGTTTTGTATAAAGGGGGCAGGACAGGAGTTTTGTAGAAGAGGGAAAGACAGGGGATTTATATAATGGGGAGATGGCAGGGTAGTTTGTTAAAGGACCACTATAGGCACCCAGACCACTTCAGCTCAATGAAGTGGTCTGGGTGCCAGGTCCCTAGAGAAACTGCTATGTTTACACTGCAGGGTTAATCCAGCCTCTAGTGGCTGTCTCCCTGACAACCACTAAAGGCGCTTCCGCAATTTACACGGAGTAAATCGTACTTATTTGATGCTGGTGTCATCACGGACCTCCAGTGTCAAAAAAGATCCCCATAGGAAAGCATTAAATAATGCTTTCCTATGGGCGGGTTTGAATGCATGCACGCCTCTGGGTGTGCATGCGCATTCGGCTCCACTCAGTAGCGGACATCTATGGTGGAGTAGAGGTCACCAGTGCCGAGGGAGCCCGGCGCTGGATTAAGGTAAACAAATAAATGGTTAATTAACAATTTATTTGCCACTGAACGGGGCCCTAGTCACCTACTCTATAGTGTTAGGAATACATATTTGTATTCCTAATGCTATAGTGTTCCTTTAATGGGGATTCAGGAGTTTTATGGAAGGAAGGTGCAGGAGTGTTATGGAAAGACGGTGCAGGAATTTGTAAGAAGAGGGAAAGGACCGGAGTTTTGTAGAAGGGGTCAGGACAGGGCTTTTGTATAAGGGGGGCAGGACAGGGGTTTTTTGTGAAGGGAGGTGCAAGGGTTTTTTAGAAGGGGGAAGAAGAGGGATTTTAACAAAACCCCTGGTCTTGCCCCTTCTATAAAACCCATGCATCCAGGTTGGTGGCCGAGAGCTGGGGGAGCAAAAATCTGAATCATCTGCCCCTGGCCGGGGACTCTGATTTTTCATCTTTACTGTCTCCCTGCAGCTAGCACAGGACAAGGAAGTCGGCCGGCCTCTCCTGATGATGTCAGGAGGAAGAGATGTGGCTTCCAAAGCTCTTCTCCTAGACCGCTGGGGAGTCTGGGAGAAGAGCAGTGGAAGCCACACCACCTCCTACTGACATCATCAGAAGTAGCTGGCCGACTTCCTAGGCTGCTGTGTGGGTCCTCCAGCTCCTGTTCCACTCCTACCTGGCCCAAGGTAAAGAATACACTTTGTTGTTTTTTTATGATCTACTCTTTTTAAAGCAGTCCCTGTCACCCTGAACAGCTCATGCCTGCCCTCCGCCACAGCCCATGTCCCCTCTCTAAAGTTCATGTGCCACCCTCTACAGCCCCTGTCACCCCACTACAGCCTCCATTACGTCCCCTAACTTTTCAACTAACTACAGCCACTACCAGTGCCCTTCCAGAGATTAGGTTCTGGATCCGACCCTGCTCTGTATGACTGGATATATATGTCTTTGTCTGTCTGTGTCTGTATGTGTATATGACAGTGCGTAGTGTGTGAATGTCTCTGTATGACAGTGTATGAATGTCTGTGTTTGTAAGGCATTGTATCTCTATGTGTAGATTGTATGAATGTGTGCCTGTATGACTGTTTGATTGTGTGCCTGCAAATCTTTGTGACTGTGTGCCTGAATAATTCTGTATACCTGTATGGTTGAGTGTTGCTATATATTTATGTCTATGTGGTATGGGAGGAAAAAGACACAATGCGCCCCGTGGGGTAGGGACACAGAGGTGAGAGAGCCACAGAACAGGGCTGGGGGGAAAGAAAGAGACACACAAAGGGCTTGGGGGAAAGTAAGAGATACACAAAGGGAATGGGGGAGGGGAGAATGAGACACACAAAGGTGCTCAGGAAAGTACGATACACAGGGGGGTTTGTAAGAGACACATAGGTGAAGATGCATTGAAGACATAGTAAAGGATGGATAAAATACACTAAAGAGGGTAAGAAATTCAAAAGGGGGGCTACAAGACACACAGGTGAAGGCGCTATTATTAGGGAGGGGTGGGGAGTACAAAATGCCATCTTTGTCTATTTAGCAAAAAATCCTTGCACCAGCCCCTTTCTACAAAACTCCTGCTCTGGCCCCCTTCTAAATTTGTGCAATTAATAATCTTGAAAACATTTTTGCAAATTGTGGATTTTTTATTTTACTTTTTAAAGGGTGGGGGGGGTGTGTGTTAAAAACAGGATCCGCCCCGGGTGCCAAATGCTATAGGTATGCCCCTGCTTTAACTGACTTCTCAACTAAACAGAATGAACATACAGACATTTTTTGGTGGCGGGAGTATCTGTAACAAAACCACTAGGAGGTGCTAAATTCAGCTTGGGATGCTGAAGCATATAATATAGTGCTAATTCTATCTCTACCTAACCCTAATCTTAGTTAAAGGGATTCTCTAGTGCCAGGAAAACAAACCAGTTTTCCCGGCACTAGAGAATCCTGGAGTGCCCCCTCCACCAGAGTTGAAGGGGTTAAAACCCCTTTCAGCCACTCACCTGAATCCGACACCGATGTTCTCGGCGCTGGGTCAGGCTCCGTCTGCGGGGGAGACCTAATGTGCATGCACAGCATTGGCTGAACACGCGCATTAGACCTCCCAATAGGAAAGCATTATTCAATGCTTTCCTATGGGGATTCCGGCAACACTGGAGGTGCTCATGCAAAGCGTGAGGACTTCTAGCGTCGTTTAGACGACCAAAAGTCATCTAAGAAGCCGGAAGTCCCTCTAGTGGCTGTCTGGTAGGACTTAACCCTGGAAGGTAATTATAAAAACTGCAAAAATTACACTTGCAGAGTTAAGGGTGATGGAAGTTTGCACCCAGACCATTTTAAAGAGCTGAAGTGGTCTGGGTGCCTACAGTGTTCCCTTAACGATTAACAGCCTCAACTTATCCTAACTAACCCTAGCTAACACTCCAATGTCCTGTTCTTCTAATCAGTTGCGGTCAGAGCCATTTATTGGTGAGGGAACCAGCAATAGCCCAGTGCTTTCTGATCATGGTGGGTACTGGTTGGAGAGATTGCCTCCAGTTGTCATAGCAATCTGTTAGCAGGTTAAGCTATGAAATCATATTGCTGGATATCTCACGCTTGAGACACACTGTTCTCCACTGCTATTCTGATTGGATGCCCGAGGAGGGCTATTGCTGATATACAGCCTAACCAGTAACAATTACAGTAATATCACGGTCTCACTATCAATTAAACCTAACTACATAAGTGATGAGGACACACAGGGGGACACACAGTCATCATAAAGGGGGGTAAGGAAAAGTTAATTTTAAAGTAAAAATTTCTAGTCTTATAATAGCTATTACTTGTCCTATTTATTACAGATGATGCCATTGTCCAAGCATTTCTATATACTGATGAATATTTCAAGTCTTCTGACAAGGTATTGTTACTGATATAATATTATTATCATTATTGTTAACATATGGTCTCATTTTTACCAAATGTCAATATTATCAGAAAACATTGTTTTCTCTACTAAATAATTCTAACAAGACTTTTCTGCCAAAGATATTTAGATCCACAGTCAATAACTTATAAAATGACATTATTTAAAATAAATTCATTGCAATTTTACAATACAATGCAGTGTATTAATATGGCAATTATTTGCTGCCTATTAGCTTTCAAGAGATGTATATACTAAACAATAAATTGTTGCAGATTTGAGGCCAAATTTGCCACAAAGGATAAATATCGGAACTGGACAATTTCTCCAATGCTGCTAACTTGGACTATTGTTCCAAAGTTCCTATTCACTGTTTAGTGAATTAAACCTCACGTCTACTGTTATATGTCTATTTTTTTTATATGGTCTGTGACTGAATCCCCTGGCTTGTTGAGGGACTTGGTGGCCAGCTATATAGACCCATGCCCAGAAGGCTCTAAATAATGAAAAATAAAAGTCTATTGCTACTGTATAGGTATGGTTGCCCTGGGTGCTTATGCTATCTCTCAGGAGGATATGGGGGACTCTGTGGATCGCCTGGATCTATTCTGCACACCACGCGCCTGACCGGAAGTTACCATAATTCGCTGTGGAACTATTCACCGGATGCAACCTGAACTTTCCCTAACAAGATTTCAAACACATCATTAGATGTGCTCGTGTTATGTTAAGATCACTAGGACCTGCAGAGAGCACTAAAACAATGCTTTCGTATGACTTGCCCTCAATGGCCTGGCCTTAGAAGGTTGGCAGGCATACATTCATGCCAGACTGACTTTACATAGTTGTCTACATTGAAAAAAAATACTACATTCCATCATGTTGAAACTGCCAGTTATTTCTGTCTGGGTGCTCCCCCTTTATCCACTCCCATCGGTATCCTTCTTTAATAGATTCAGGAGTTGGGAGGTATGTTAATTCCTGTGCTGTATTAGTAGGATTTTCTCTCTCCTAATCTTTATTACATGCCTTACTCTAATTCTGATATTCTCCTAGTACCTGCTGGCAATGGTGATGACATACTTCCAGAGAGCAGGACTGAAGAAAGAAGAATGTAATAGGGACAACTTTTTTACAGCTTTGTAAGTGTTTTTAACCTTCCCTAAGGGTTTTAATGTAAGACGCTAACAACTCCTCTCTTGTCATACTCACTGTATTTTATTAAGCGTTTAAATAACAAACAGAAAATAAGGGTAACATGTGCAATATTTGTAGCAAAATCATTACAACTTGTGATATCTAGACTGCATGAGCTGCATTTATGTACTTTGGTAACTTACTTGCAATTCTTTTCTATCTTAAGATATCTGGCAAATTGCATAGAAGAAGAGGAGCCATTTTATAACCAGATATATCCCTGGGCTCTCGGAGGAAACTGGCGTCTTCATCTGCACCACTTCTGCAAGGCACGCGACCAGTTATGGTTGCGAATGGGATTCCAAGCCCTAGTAAGCAGAGAGACATGTGAGCAGGTTTGTAATCGCAATCCATTTGAAAAAAAGACAAAAGACATTAGATTAAGTACCGTATATACTCGAGCATAAGCCGAGTTTTTCGGCACTTTTTTTTTGCTGAAAAAGCCCCACTCGGCTTATACTAGAGTCAATGTCTGTATTATGGCAACTTACATAGCCATAATACAGACCAGGCTTGTAATGAGCCCGGCGGTCCTGTTGGGGGCTGGCAGAGAGCTGTTACTTACCTTCCTGCAGCTCCTGTCAGCTCCCTTCTCCTCCGTGCAGCTCCCCTGTCAGCTCCGTTCTGCTTACAGTGTAAGTCTCACGACACCCACGGCCATGCTCCCTGCGGCACGCAGACCGTGAGACTTACACTGGAAACAGAACGGAGCTGACAGGGGAGCTGCACGGAGGAGAAGGGAGCTGACAGGAGCTGCAGAAAGGTAAGTAACAGCTCTCTGCCAAGCCCCCCACCTGCACAGCCCATACACTGGACCACCAGGCAACAAGCAGGGAGGGGGGCAGAAAACCAATTAAATAAAAAAAAATACAAATATTCAAATAAAATAATAATATTAAAATAATAATAATAATAATATTAAAATGTAAATAATCAAAATGCCTTCCCCTCACCCAATTTACACACACTACACAAACACACACACACACACTGCATTCACACAAACACACACTGCATTATATACACACACAGTGAATAAATATTCAATTAATGTAATTTTATTGGGATCTAATTTTATTTAGAAATTTACCAGTAACTGCTGCATTTCCCACCCTAGGCTTATACTCGAGTTTTTTTGGGTAAAATTAGGGGCCTCGATTTATATTCGGGTCGACTTATACCCGTAAATGCTTTAGGATTTGAATTTAATTGAAAACTAGTTTTCAGATGCAGTCAGGTTTTTTTTAGACTTGTGTCTGGAAATTTTACCCAAGATTATCATTCAGAAATCCTTCCTTCGGCATTAATGAACAATTTCTAAGAGACGGTATCTAGATCCTTTCTATTAGTTATTCAAATCAAAATATTTTTTTCCCCACAGACAACTGAATCTATACTCTTTAATGATGAGAACATGTTGTGAGCAGGGCCGGTGCAAGGATTTTAGAAGACTATTATATGTCTGCCTCAGGGCAATCATAAGTTATGGGGTCCTCATACTTTCTGTGAGTGCCATCAAAATCATGCATTAGGATGAAAAATACACGGATGGCATCACTAATTCTGCTTTAAAGGTTTACACAATGGGAAAGGTACCCAACTAAACAACCTAACGTGCAACTTTAATTGTAAAAATAGTACATAGAAATGTAACTTACAGTATCCAGAAGGCTTTTTGATTTATGAATAACTGTAATTTCTGTTCAGGAATTGAAATGTATTTACAAAATGTAATACAACTTTAATCCTTTCAAATTATGCAGATTTCTCTAAAATAAAAATAAAACCAATATTAGTATAACTATGCAAAGCCGTCAGCCAAGGATTGCACATTTGTTGTCAGCATTTCATTTCTTTGTTGTTTTAAAAGTTAACATTTAAGTTGAACATTAGTCATTTTTTTTTGCTCCTGTTCTTTTTTCCACCTAGATCATGGCTGCAAATGCTTCCCACTGGGCATGGACAAGAACTCGGATAAACCATCATGGAGGGGCGATCCGACATTTTCGGCGAAAGCTGAATGAGTTTGTTGTCCGAGTTCCTTTACCGTGGCATCTGTTATCCTGCCCCTGTCAGAGAAATGCCAACTACACCACCAGCAACTCTCGGGTCACCAAACCTGCGCAGTGGGAAGTGGCTAAAATTGTCATCAAACAAACAGGTAAAAAACTAAACATTGTGGAGATTGCACTTACACTAAGTACTAACTGTTCAGAAAGTACTATATATATTACCTTTTATACATTGTGAAGTGAAATGTTACTGACATTCTATTATATTACAGGTTGCTGCCTAAAGCATTATGTTGCAGAATACTCCAGCAAACTTTGGAGTTTATTCAATAAATGGTAAGTAGCGGTGATTGACATCTGAGAGACAAATCTAGGCATAAGTAGGCAATGTTTCTATTACAGCAAGATTGACCTAAATGTTATAATTGATGTTGATATTTTTTATTAACTCACTAAGGAATTTGGTATCTGAGAATCTGTCTATATATAAAAAATATACACAGAGACATATATTTATATATAACTAGAAGCTATATAGGAATATGAAGGATTATATTTGGTTCATGTTAACATGTTTCATGTCACTAGTTTGGTCATATGGGATGAAAATCCTCTATTGGATATAAATGAAACCTCACTGCTTCAAAGTCCAGTTATTGTTTCTCTGTATGTTTACTATTATTAGTAGTATATATTATTCTAGGAATCTATGTGATACAAACGGTACCCAAAGTGCTATTCTCCTCCCCAGCCTACACATGTTCATACATATAATATAAAATTATCATTACTGCTGAGAAACCTGTGACTGAAGCTCCAGTCCTGATATCATCCATTAATTTGGCTGAATAGTGACACTAGCCTTGTTTATCATTTATTGATTGGAGCGCTATTCTTCTCTCTGAAAGTATAGTGTATGCTTCTAACACAGCGTAATATAGCTCCCCCATAGGTAAGGACTTTGGTGCTGTGATCAGGTAAGTAAATAAAGGGTTTTTAATCCTTTATTCAACGTGGGGCATAAGGGAAGGGGTGGAGGGAGGGGGAGGGGGCAGTAACAGTGATAATGCCAGGAATGCAGCTTTGTATTCCTGGCACTAAAGTATCCCTTTGAAATTATATTAGAGTCTCCAGAACAACTACAGCTACAGGAACACTAAAGTGCCAGGAATACAAACATATATTCCTGACACTATAGTCTTAAAAGCACTGTTTAGGAACCAGCCCCTCCCCCCTTACTTTTAACATGTAATTTTACTAACTTTTTTTCCAGTGTTCCGCTGGTCTTCTTGCAGCTGGCCCTGCCCCACTCTGCCTTTGATCAAAATGATGATCTCAGCCAATGCAATACTTTTCCATAGGAGAGCATTGAATCAATGCATCTCTATGAGGAGTGTTAAGAGTCTCCATGCAGAGCGTGGAGACGCTAAACGTGTGCAGCACTTACCATAGAAGCCCCTCTAGTGGCCATCTGAGTAACTGCCACTACAGGTGTTCCTACACAGTAATGTAAATACTGTGTTAAGTATATAGTGGAGCGCTTAGTAATAAAATATATCGCATAAAACATCTTTTGAAAATTGTGTAAATATTTATTTAAATACATTTTACACTTTAACCCCTTAAGGACTGGACTGTTTTTGCGATGTTGTACATTTGCGACCAGGCATATTTTTACACTTTTGTGGTGTTTGTGTTTGGCTGTAATTTTCCGCTTTCTCATTTACTGTTCCCATACAAATTATATATTGTTTTTTTCAGGACAAAAGGGGCTTTCTTTACATACCATTATTTATATAATCTCATGTATTTTCATTTAAAAAAAATATGATGAAAAATTGAAAAAAATACATGTTTTTTGACTTTTACTTGAAAAATCTTTTACTCATCTACAAAAGCAAATGAAAAAAACTGCTAAATAGATTCAAAATTTTGTCCTGAGTTTAAAAATACCCTAGTGTTTACGTGCTTTTTTGCTTTTTTTTGCATGTTATAGGGCTATAGGTACAAGTAGGATATTGCGGTTTCAAAACATACATTTTTAAAATTTATCAATAGTGACATTGTAACACTATTATCTGTCATAAATCTCTGAATAACACCCCACATGTACATATTTCTTTTAAAGTAGACAACCCAGGGTATTCAATATGGGGTATGTCCAGTCTTTTTTAGTAGCCACTTAGTCGAAAACACTGGCCAAAGTAAGCATTCATATTTGTTTGTGTGTGAAAAAAGTAAAAAAACTAAATTGAACGCTAATTTTGGCCAGTGTTTGTGACCAAGTGGTTACTAAAAAAGACTGGACATACCCCATTTGCAATACCTTGGGTTGTCTTCTTTTGCAAATGGTATGCCATCATGGGGGTAATTCTCATTCCTGGGCTACCATACGCTCTCAAAGGCAACGTAACCAACCTGGCCATTTTCAATGTAAAAATATTTGACCCATATATTTGACCTTGTAACTTTCAAAAATGCTATAAAACCTGTACATGGGGGGTACTGTTTTACTCGGGAGACATCGCTGAACACAAATATTAGTGTTTAAAAACTGGAAAACGTATCACAACAATTATATCATCAGTAAAAGTGCTGTTTGTGTGTGAAAAATGCAAAAAAGTAACTTTCACTGACAATATCATCACTGTGATATATTTTACTGTTTTGAATCACTAATATTTGTGTTCAGCGAAGTCTCCCGAGTAAAAGAGTACCCCCCATGTACAGGTTTTAGGGTGTCGTAGAACTTTACAGGATAAAATACATTGCTAGCAAATTAAATTCTCCGGAATTTCGGCCTGGGTTGGCAGGCAGGTCCCTCAAATTGCAATCAATAAAATTACTGAATTATGTAAAAATATTACATAAATACGCACGTAGAATTTAAATATATATGCATATTTATATATTTGAAGTCAACGTGTATATTTACATAATTATTTATGTAATTTTGTATATGGACATAGTAGTACTATAAGTAGTCCAATTTGTATTATTCTTTAGTGTATTTTGATAATATTATATCATATATATATATATTAATTTTAAAATACAGTTAGAATAAAATTTCATATAGATATATAATTTTTTTTTAATTTTTTATTATTATTTAAAAAAAAATATTTAATTTAAATTACTTATTTATATTTTATAATAATATATATATACAATATATATAGTTATTATATATATTATATATATATACGTGTGTAATTTAATTATAAGTGTATTTTTATATTAATATATGTACATATTAATATAAAAATACACTTAGTATGGCATTATATATATATATATATGATATATAGGCATTATACATATATAATTTTTTTATTTTTTTTTATTAACACTAACTTTATTTTTTTTAATGATTTTACACTTGCAGGGAGACTGCCTTTCAGCACAGGCAGTCCCCCTGCAGGCAGACACATGGACACCTATTGTGACCATGTGATCGCTGTGTTAAGTGATCACATGGCCACAGGGGTCCTAATCCAGTGTGGGGAGACTGTCTGGGCTGCAGGCAGTCTCCCCACAACCGGAGCACCGCTGATCGCCGCCGGGGGAACGACGGCGATCAGGTAAGTAACTCTGACCGTTAGGACGGTTCAGGACCGTCATCGGTCGGCAAGGCAAAAATGCCGATGACGGTCCTGAACCGTCCTAGGTCATGAAGGGGTTAAATACAAATTTAGAAGGGATTTTTTGGCAATATGTTCCATTACTAAGCGCACCACCATATACTTCATAGATTTTAACCTTTTGACCTGCTAATTGAATAACTCATGGGTGTTTTGAGCAGCTAATATAAAAAAAAAAATAAAAAAAAAAAAAATATACAAACATAAGCGCTTTACAACATGGAAAAATCTATTTCCATTGTTTTAGTAATGTATAAAAAGCCTGCAGGGCCATTTAGCTATAGTTATTCTTTAATGTAGTTGCAGGAAACCTAGGAAAACCTCTATTGGCAGTGACTCAGAGTGCAGCACTGGGATTCAGCGTCTCCAAGTTCTGCACAGAGATGCTGAACGCTACCCATAGAGATGCATTGATTCTATGCATCTCTGAGGAGATGTTGATTGGTGCAACACTTTGCTGCATATATGCAATAGCCTCTGAATGTTTCCCCATGGGAAATCGTTTGATTGGCTGAGATAGTTAAATTTGACGATCTTGGCAAAGGAGGCGGAGCGGGGTGGCGAGAGACAGTGGGTGAGTAAATTGCCTTTTTAAAGGCAGGCGAGGGGGACCGGAAACCTAAACTGTGTTTTTACAAGTATAGTGCCAAATATACACATTTTTATTTCTGACAATATAGTGTTACTTTAAACTGTTTAATGTCAACAGACAAAATCTAAATAATAATAATACATCATTTTATGTCTGTTAATCCTGTTTACAGAAATTGAAGAACAACAAGGAGGAAACTATTTAACATCTGGACGTTTCTCCAACATTTCTGTTCATCACCAACAACTGCACATGTATCCAGCACCTGTATAGCCATCAGCATCTCCAACTGTCTCTGAAATCTGCTCATACATCTGGCTTGGTTATGAAGCAAAACAACCCAGTTCAACATCTATGCCTCCAGTAATGTCATCATACTACTGAGCGTGGTGTGCCCAGTTTCCTCCAAAATCCCAGACTAGATTGTACGGCTCCTCTTCTTCTATCTAATTTGGGTTCTACTAAAAAATGAAAGGGGCACTATAGTGTTAGGAACACAAACATGTATTCCTGATACTGTAGTTCTAAAACCATCGTTTAGCCAGTCAGCTCCCCTTACCTTGGGTTATAAAGGTGATTTACTCACCTTTATCCAGTGCCGCGCGGGGCTCCTCACGTCTGGCCCCCCCACCCCCCGATCTGCCTCCTAGGCTGACATCAGATTTGATGATTTTAGAATAACCAATGCTTTCCCACTGGAAAGCATTGGGAGGCTAATGTGCATTGGTGGTAAAACACTGTGCTGCACCAATCAGCATCTCCTCATGACTGATTTAATGTATCTCTGTGGGGAATACACCTATGGTGGCTGTCTGAGTAGTGGCCACTAGAAGTGTTCCTAGGCTGTAATGTAAACACTGCCTTTTCTCTGAAAAGGTGATGTATACAGAAAAAAGCTGGCAGGGACAAGCTATAATAACCAGAACAACTACAATAAGCTGTAATTGTTCTGGTGACTATAGTATGCCTTTAAATGAAATATTAAAGGGTCACTAAAGTCAACATAGAAAAGCAAGAAAGACAGGTCCCCTAGCCTTCTTTCTTGCTTTTATATGAACTTACAATAAAAAAAATAAATTCGAGCCCTTTTTATCATTAAAATTTACCTCTGTTCCGGCGCCGAGCTCCTCGTCAGGCCACGCCCCCTTTTTAGTCAAAATTATGAAATAGCAGGGCTCAATCAGGCGCTTCTCGTTGAGAAGCGCCATCGCTATCAGGTGGTCATGCACCAATCAGGTTCTTCATAGAGCGGCATTCAATGAAACCACTAAACGCTCAACCGTGCATGTGTGCTCAGCTCGCTGTCTACGCCAACCCTCCTAAGCCAAATGTTTGTATGCAAACACTATATATACAGATATCTCTATATATAATGTTTGTATACAAACACACACATTTTAAATAAATATTGTTAAACATACAAACACACACACACTATATCTCTCTCTCTCACACTCACTCAATTTCTCTCATTCTCTAATTCTCTCACAATCACTCTCTGTCACCCATACTCACTCACTCACCCACACTCACACTCACTCACAAAATAAGTTTACTTACGGTTTGGATCCTCCTGTCCGGTCTTCAACCTGTCAGCTCGAGCTGACGCTGTGTGCAGGAGATCTTATTTAAGATCTCCCACACTGTCAGCTCTGATTGCTGCCAGGCTCCGGGGTTATTACAGGACATAGGAGGCGCGTTCACAGTGCCTACTATCTCCTGTTATCACGTTTGATGTACTCACCCAAGCGTGAAGACGTTAAACGTGATGAATGCAAATTAGGCATTCATGAACTCGGAAGTACCTCTGGTGGCAGTCTGAGTGACTGCAACTGGAGGTGTTCCTAGCTTCCGATGTAAACATTGTATTTTCTCAGAACACTCATCTAAAGTCATGGGAGATACGAGGAGGTCCAATCAAAAATAATAACGATTAAAAAAAAGCACAGAATTTACATTAGGTAGCCCATAAAAGAATTCCAGTCTCCCTAGGTCACGTGTGCTCGGCGGTGTAACTAGCTCCGACCACACAACTAAAAATAACTCTGGATGTACAGAGTTTCAAGCTGAAACATTACGCATCCAGACTCCTACCACATGATTACTTCAAAAATCAGAAGTAGTCATGGTGGTTGGATTAACCCTTTAAATGCCTGAACTAATTGCCTGCTGCCAGCACTAGCAGCCTGTGGGCAAATAAAACGTGTCGACGTGAGAGTTACCTCATATGGCAGCAGGCCAGCACTTCCTAACCAGTCACCACATAACCTGTCAGTATGCTCCCCATTTAACTATAGTAAGATTAAACATGTACCACGTCCAGTATTCCCCAAATTCAAATTAGCCCATTCAGGTTCCTTTTGAACATACATTTTTAAGAAAGATATGAGAATAATTTCCAAACTAAATAATTTAAAGACTAAACCTAATGAATTACCCCTAAATTAATAGCATGCCTTGAGGGAGGGCAGTACAGCGGCCATGGTTCCTCACAGGTTTCCTCCACTGGGGGTTTTTCCTGTCCTGAGCGCTGCTGTACAAACAAATGTTTTAAAAATATCATATAGTGAAAACACATTTATCCGTTATATTTATATTATAATCTAAAAGTTGCCATAATACTTTGTAAAACCTTTCTTTGTGTATAAATACCAATGTCTATTGTAATTGATATGCAATATGGAAACTAGGTTCTAAAAAAAAAAAAAAAATAATACCCTTAAAAAACAACAACCAAAACACCAATATAAACTTTATTTTTATACATTTACTGATGTCTTGCTTTTCATTCTCTAACATTCTAATTGCCAAGTTTATTTAGTATCAGTTAGTTCTGCTAATTATGGATAAACATAAGCATCTCACAGGCATTCTAGGAAAGTCTTTTGGTTGGAGGATACAATACAGTGAATTGTAACAGGTTTTTACATAAAACACATCAATGTGTTACACGTACAGTACTTGCAGGGTTACTTACTAAACTGAGAATCGTCAGGAATGCAGAGGGAAGCAAACCTGTCACACGTATATAGTTATAAAATCCTCAGAATGTGAAACAGACATTGATAAACATTCAAACAAATTACATAATCTTTATTTCTAATTCTTAATTAATCCAGGATCAGGTAATTATATTTTCTTTTTTTATGCTTTATCTTTTCATACGATAAATCTTACGCTTTCCTATGGGGCTTCCGTGTCATGTGACAAGTTTTATTAGATCTGTGCCGCAGAAGAGCCCTCTAGTTGCCGTCAGTTTTTTTTTTAAAAAGGGAGATCAGGGGGCACACCCAGAATATGGGTGCTACAATTAAGGAAACAGTACACACACACAAAAAATACAAATAAGTTTTAACTCTTACAAGGCCACTTACAATCAGTTATCTTAGAAAACAAATATATGGATTTAGTGACACGATATGGCCAAATCATTTAAACCCACCAATAAGTCATAGTACCCCAATATCGGTGGGTCCTTCACCACATGTAAACATGCTAACGGCAACACCTAATTTTTTATGATTGTCTTTTGTTGAAATTTTCAAGGGTTACAGAAAGTAAGAAGAGGGGGCCTGATGTTCCATAGCAGTGCACATCATTCAACAACTTGTTCCAATGTAAGAAAACTCAGTTTGCACAACACCTATTACTGATAGATGTTGTCCTTACTTTGTCCATTATTGTGATGGGATTCCAGCATGGTCAAAATTTAGTAGGCCAAAATCTCCATGTGGCATATGTGTATGTTGTGTCAGTTGGTTAGCTACATGTAGCTAGGATACTGTCATCAGTGTACTGAGCATGTGCAGGAATGCAGGAACTGAAATTGCACTTATTTCCTTTGTCTTGGATGAGCCATGTGGTTTGACTAGATGTACAAGTCTATATTCTGCTCATTGATTGGTTAAAGGTATATGTGGGTGTAGCTATTAATGGGAGGAGTTATAGTGCTATATAAGGAATGTACACTATGTGTTGGTCTCTCAGAATGTTGGAACAGGAGTTCATCTGAGACCCGATCGGTAATGTGAATAAAGGCCTGTTACTTCCTGAAGACCTGTGTCCAATATTTCTGTGTTTGGCTTCTGCATGCATTACATTGCAACATCTCTGGTGCATTGGCAGCCGGGAACCTCATCGCACGGAAGCTAGCGCAGAGATTTGAGACGGTAAACTTTTACCACACCTTCTACGCTACAATCCTGGACTTCTACTGCGTGGACCTCCTTTCGTCTCGGCGCCACTGGCCTTTTGTCCAGGAGATCATCGGCTTCTGCGCAGTGAGTCCCGGATTGTTCCGTCTATGAGTGAACCCAGGTCCAGAAACTAACAGGTAAGATTGATACCGTTAGAGCGGTAGACCCACAAGGGGTTTTATATTTGGAACCGGTTATTGGAAACTGCCTGTCCTAATGGATGGAAGAAGCGAAAGCGCAACGCTTATCTGGAAATTAGACGCTCTGTAGTCAGCCCGTCTAATATAGGTGGTTTGGGTCAGACTGAGTTCTGGTGTAAATAGCTCATGTCGGACACCGGTGTCCTGTCTTGACTAGCGTATCTAGGGTGTAAATTTTGTTCGCTAGGTCGGGGGGACCGGGAGACTAGCATACTCTGTTGTATATTATAGTTTGCTAGATTTCACCCTATCTTAACTAAGTGTGCTCTGTTGTAAATCCAGCCACTAGCTTATTGATGGTTTCATAGACTAGCTGGGTACTGTGTAAATTCTGCCCTCTAGTTCGCTATACGTGGTGTCTGGGCAGCGAAGAACTTATCGAATCTCTGGTGTATAAATAGATCGAAAGCTCTCGAGGTGCTGGCCAGTTAGAATAGTTGGGATTATTGTAAATGTTGTTAAATATATTGTAGTTGGTGAATTGGTTAACTTGTATGTCCTACTAGAAAGTTAGAGCTCTGCTGTCTAGTGGGAGTGTAAATTGTGTGTATAACTGTAAAATAGCGCACGGTACCATAACTACTGACATGTACCATAACCACTGACATTGTGTAAAAATTACTAACAATTGCTGTTTTATGTTATATGTATAATACCATAGCTGTTACTAACTGATCTGTGACTTTAAAACTGTATTATAACCACTTACTAACTGTACCATAACCACTGACTGTAAAGATGAGGTTACTAGAATGTGATATAGTTGGTTAGTCAAAAGTTGATTTATAGTACGGATAATTGTAGAGATGAAATTGTTGAAATGCTATGTGATCGGTTAGTTTATATGGATTAATAGCGTGGATAGTTGTATGGTTTGAATAATAGTTACATTGATAAGTGTATAGTCTTTGGTGGGTTTTTGATTTAATTTCGTGTGTGCGACGTCGTGATATTGTTGAGCATGTGAGGATCCTGTGTGTGCGTGCATGTGTGTGTTTGGGCCTAGTGACTGCGCAATGTGTTGCTGGTGATAAGGAGATTGGTGTGACTGTTGAAACTGTGTGTATATTTGTACAGCTTTTTGAATCAGACGTTCTGTTGCAATGATCTTCTGATTCACTAGGCTGTTAGTCTTTTGTCTTGTATGTTTAAAAAAAAAAAAAAGTAGGGAGTAGCCTGTCCTGGTGGCTGCATGGCCTCCATGTAGCAGTCTTCACTTAAATTTAGTGCAGGGTGTACATGTGGCTGTAACTAGTAGGCCGGAATTCTATGATCGGTTTCTATACATTGACTGTTGGAAACTGATTGTTGAAAAACTGCCTTGGTGAGTTAAACTGTGTCATATGAGAAACAATGTAGCCATATGGTGGTCAGAACTAAGGCCTTGATTACAACTGCTTTGGACATCCCCTCCCCCCTGGCATATGATTACCAACCCCCTATTCATCCTCCAGAGTAGCCACGCCCCTATTCTTCTTCCCAAGCTAAGAACTGGTATATAGTCAGTATTTGCACTCCCCCTGCTCTACTGTCCCCGCCTACCCACATACCTATCTGTTCTTGTGTTTCAAACTCTTGTATTTCTGTACTACCCCTCCCCCTAATCAATGATCAATGGTATAAGATGGTATATGGTCTTTTTTTAGTTACTGGATGGGCCCCTCCCAGCTTTGTCCAAAATGTCCCCTTTTACTAAACTACAAACTGAAATGTTTAATTTACCTTAGAACTAAAGATTTAATCAAGCCTAGATATCAGGGTGGACAGTGATTAAAATAAGTTATAATAAAATAGGGACATAATTAATTAAAGTCTATTGGCTTCATTAGACTTTAGGAAGGCACTCTAGGCCACCTACTGGCCATCTTCGGGAGTTACATTGATAATACATTGTTTATAACAGATAGAAGTAGGATTGCTTACCCTATTTTAATATATTTATTGCTATGATGTTTTATTTTATGTATAGATATATTAAAAGTTAAGTTTTATTATTAGACCCATAAAGATTATTTTGATACAATTACCCTCTGGTGACACCTACTGGTAGGTTATTGGTTTAACACTTTAAAAAAAAACCAAAAAAAAACAAACGTTTTTTCATCCACCAAATGCTGACTAATAAAATTAGCTCACCCCCTTACACCTATCTTACTACTCCTAGACTGGAACCTATTATTGAGCAGCCTTGCCGAAGTCCCATATTAGACACTGCTTGAGTCAAATAGATTGTACACTCCTTTCAATCCTGAAGCCCCTGAAAACTTCCGAATGATAGACTCAGCATTTGTCAGCCAGGCCCAAGGTGATATTAAAAGGAAATTACAGAAATTAGAGGGATTTGCAGGGATGTCCATATTACAGCTAATGGAGATTGCAAATACAGTATATATGAATAGGGAGACGGAGGAAGAACGTAAAATGAGGAAAAAGGCAGATATGCTAGCGGTAGCTATCTTAAGTGAAGAAAGACAGGGAAGTGAATAGAGGAGACGAGAATAGGCTGAGCAAGGGACCTTTAAGTAGGAATTAATGTGCGTATTGTAGAAAGGAGGAACATTGGAAGAGTGAGTGTCCACAGAGAGAGCAGTATGAAGGTGATAGACAAGGAGAGAGAAGGGTACGAGGAGGTTATAGTGGTAGTTATAGAGGAAGAGGAAATTTTAGAGGGAATGATGGGAATAGTAGAGGAAGTGTTCAAGGAGACAGATACTATCCACCCACGCAGAGACCTAAAGAAAGAGAGGATAGAGATTTTGTGGGTCTGGCTGATACTATCATGGAAGACTATTGATACCGACCGGGCTCCATCCCACTTGGTCAAGCGGAGCCTATGGTCGATGTAGCAATAGGGGGAAAGAGAAGTTCTTTCATGATCGACACAGGTGCTGAACATTCTGTGGTGACTAAGATGGTGGCTCCGCCTTCGGGGAAGACTATAACTGTGATAGGAGCTACTGGGAGAAGTGCAGCTAGACCGGTTCTTAAGAGTCGCACTTGTATTCTGGGAGGCCATGTGGTGAAGCATTAGTTCCTATATATGCCAGAGTGTCCGATTCAACTTTTAGGACGAGATCTATTATCGAAGCTTTAAGCTCAGATAACCTTTTACCTAATGGATCAACATCTCTGAAGTTTAAGGGATTACCAGGCATAATGGCGATATCGGTGCCAAGGGAAGAAGAATGACGCTTCTATTCCATAGTGACAAGTGTTAACCCTAAGAGTGATGAATCCTTATTTGACATTCCAGGAGTATGGGAAGAAAATAATCCTCCAGGACTTGCTCATAATATCCCACCAATACATATTGAGTTAAAGCTCGGGGTGTATCCTGTTAGCCTTTGTATGTTGTTCTTTTATCTACCCCAAAAGCTGTAAAGGTGGCGGAAGTGACTCCTTGGATTCATCAATCTAAGGTTAAACCAGCAGCAGACTCTTGGCAAGCTACTCCAGATCCTGAGAATCCTTGCAGGACCCGGTTGAAGCGTGCAACTCAGTCGGAGTGACGAGGGGATATCGAGACATTCTAATTAAAAGTCTACAAAGATCATCAAGTAGGTGTTTTGACGGCCATAATAAAGCCTGACCACCTGCCTACGTGTCATAGCCAGAGTATCTTGAAGGGATCTCTGTGAAGGAAAGTGAGGATTAAAAGAACAACATCTTTGCAGCCCTCACAATCGGGAAGCTGAGAGGCCATCGCACGGTTGAAGAAAAATGAGGATTTCAGGAATAATGTGTTTTATTATGTCTTAGTATTTTTATGATTTTTCAGGAAGGTAGGAGTACAGACATACCGAATTGCGATAGTTGCATTAAGACTACAAAAATAGGTAACCAAATATCCCAAACTCTCATCTGGCACTCACAGTATGAATGTAAGGGATCTGTATCTAAATGTAGATATTTGGATATTGATTATAGTGTGTGCAAGCCAATATCAGGAGAGTCTAAATGTTTTGATCCCCAATTCCAACCCCGTACAATTTGGTTGGTAATTCGGAATAGTAACTCCCAGGGGACATTAATAAATAGGACTGTGATAAGCACCATACATTCCAACGGGTATTCTACTATTTGATGCATGTAAGGCGATTTCGGGTAGTGGAAGACTTTGGAATGTATGTGGTAATCTTAAATGGGAACGAACTTATGGGTTTAATGATAAATACTTATGTCCCAGTAAAAGATCTACTGATCCTGATTGCCCAAATAGAGACTAACTTCTGCCCCTATTGGTCATGTGTAGGTTGGGCAACCTGGGAAAAACAGTGGATCAAGATATGATTATCCAAAGGTTGCCTACCACACCATACTGTAAAACTATGTGTGTAACCCCGTTCACATGACCATTTCCAATCTGCAGCACTTTATTGACAGGTTTGGAGGTCTGTTTTTGGTTCCAAATATATGGCACAGGAGTAGATCCAGGAACAATAATATATGTAGGTCTTGAAACTGAGACAGTGGCAACTCAAACTCATCAGGTTTCTCATTCCTTCTATGAGGAGATGAGTATTGAGGATAAAATTCCCCATAATGTTAAGAACCTATTTATTGATTTGGCTGAGAGTATTGCGGGTAGTCTTAATGTAACTAATTGCTATGTGTATGGAGGTACCAATATGGGAGACCAGTGGCCATGGGAGGCAAAGGAAATATGGTACCCTGGCTCTGAGACATATGAACAACAGATACTTTCTCAGTCAAGTAAGTACTAGAAGTAAATCAGAATGGTGGTTAAAAACCTCCATTATAGGTCATGTTTGTATAGCCAGGAAAGGGACAATGTATAACACGTCTGTAGGTGAGCTAACTTGCTTGGGACAAAAAGCCTATAATGTTAATACTAAAAATACTACTTGATGGTCAGCTTCAAATGTCTCGGAACCTACTAATCCGTTTGCCAATCACACTCATTTAAAGGAGGTAAGGTTTGACTTATCGGCTACATCTAGTTGGAAAGCCCCAGCAAATTTATACTGGATCTGTGGTAGGAAAGCTTATTCAGAGTTACCACAAGATTGGGAAGGGGCATGTGTATTAGGTATGCCAAAGCCATCCTTCTTCTTGTTGCCAATCGAAACAGGAGAGACCTTGGGAGTTAAGGTTTACGATGTAAATCATAAAAGGGAGAGAGCATCCTTGAATATAGGTAGCTGGGAAGATAATGAGTGGCCCCCTCAACGTATTATTAATTATTATGGACCTGCTACTTGGGCAGAAGATGGCACTTATGGATATAGAACTCCGATATATATGCTCAACCGCATTATTAGACTAAAGGCGGTAGTTGAGATTATTACTAATGAGACAGCTCAAGCGCTTAATCTTCTAGCTAAGCAAAATACCAGGATACCGTCAGCCATATACCAGAATAGGTTAGCCCTTGATTACTTACTAGCAGTAGAAGGAGGTGTATGCGGAAAGTTTAATCTAAGTAACTGTTGTCTGCACATAGATGATGAAGGGCAGACAGTGGCTGAACTTACAAGCCACATGGTTAAATTTGTGCATGTACCTACTCAGGTCTGGAATGGGTATAACCTAAGTAGTTGGTTTGGAAGTTGGTATGAGCAGCTTGGAGGAATTAAGACATTAGTAGGAGGAGTAGTGTTTATCATATTCTTATGTCTTTTTCTGCCCTGTCTAATTCCACTAGTGGTAAGGTCCCTACGTAGTATTATAGAGAGTACTATAGAGAGAAAGACAGCTGCTCATGTAATGGCTGTCTGGAAGATATGATCCCCTAGCCCGAAGAGAATATATTCAGGATGAAGAATGTTGAAGGAGTTTTTAAGATGCTTACAAGGTCTACTCTGGTTCAATGGCTACTTGAGAGATGTAGGTAAAACTGTGATTGGTGATGCATCTGGAATAATGTTATATCAGAGGCATCAAAGGGGGGAATGTGATGGGATTCCAGCATGGTCAAAATTTAGTAGGCCAAAATCTCCATGTGGCATATGTGTATGTTGTGTCAGTTGGTTAGCTACATGTAGCTAGGATACTGTCATCAGTGTACTGAGCATGTGCAGGAATGCAGGAACTGAAATTGCACTTATTTCCTTTGTCTTGGATGAGCCATGTGGTTTGACTAGATGTACAAGTCTATATTCTGCTCATTGATTGGTTAAAGGTATATGTGGGTGTAGCTATTAATGGGAGGAGTTATAGTGCTATATAAGGAATGTACACTATGTGTTGGTCTCTCAGAATGTTGGAACAGGAGTTCATCTGAGACCCGATCGGTAATGTGAATAAAGGCCTGTTACTTCCTGAAGACCTGTGTCCAATATTTCTGTGTTTGGCTTCTGCATGCATTACACTGCAACATTATTATATATGTCTGCCTCATAGACAAAATATACAAATACACAGAGGATTTATTCACTAAACACCGAAGTGTAATACATTTGCATTACATCTGAATTGCATAATGCAGGTTCAAATAGCTAATCAGCCTAGGCTGAATTGGAGAACTTTATCAAATCAAGTATGTTGGTTTATAATTTAAAATGAATGTGTTAATGAACTACATTTTACAATTATATAATGAATAAACCTCTGTAGTTTATTTCCTAAATTAAAGAATTTAGTGTAGAGAAAACCAAACTACAAAGTTAAAGGGACACTATAGTCACCAGAACAACTACAGATTAATGTAGCTGTTCTGGTGAGTATAATAGCTCCCTTCAGGCATTTTCATATAAACACTGCGTTAAGAGAAAAGGCAGTGTTTACATTGCCCCTAGGGACACCTCCAAGTGGCCACTCCTCAGATGGCCACTGGAGGGGCTTCCTTGCTCATGGGGATGCTGAATTTTCCTCATAGAGGTGCATTGATTCAATACATCTCTATCATGAGGTGCTGATTGGCCAAAATGGTGTTTGGCCTGCCCCTTGCCGATTTTAGCCAATCCAATGCTTTCCTCATGGAAAAACATTGGATTGGCTAAAAATCTGCAATTCTGATGATGTCACCAATGGGGTGTGGCCAGCACTGGCAGACCCGTGGAGAGCTGAAAATAAGGTGAGTTTTAACCCATTCTGAGGGAGCTAAGGGAGGGTGGGGGCAAGCCACCTAAATGGTGGGTTTTCACTATAGGGTCAGGAATACATGTTTGTGTTCCTGGCCCTATAGTTATCCTTTAAGGCCAAACTACAAAGTTAAAGTAGTGGATTTTGAAAAATTCACTAGTTGATATAGTGCCAGTATGGTTATTTATGGCTTGAATTTTGCAACTTGTGTTTGATGTTGCATTTAAGAATGTAGGGGTTAAACCCATAAGGCAGATTATAGGCACTGACAGACACACAAAGTAATTTAGCTTACCAAAGTGCTGTATGTGTCTGGAGTTTGTAATATTTTTAATAAAAATGTTTTTAAAAGGGCCAATTTCAGGGTGAAACTGCTATAAAAAAAAAAACATTCCTCACCTATCTAGCAGCACCTCGACCCCATTGATGTCCCTGGTACATCATGGGGAAAAATACCAAGTAAAAGTAGATCAAAACTATATCAGGGAAGGGAATCTGGAGCATCGCATACATCTTTCAGACGAGGCTTAGGCTTGGTTTATAGGTAGTCCTGTTAAAGGCCTAATTTTACCCACTAAGAGTTTCTCACTCCATTAGAGTGAGAGTG